CGAAATAATGGTTTGTATTATATGGACTACTCGTAGCATTGCCTTGAAGTATTTGAGGATTCCTTTCACTTGCGCGCCGTCAGCATTCAATGCCGTGAGTAGCAGATAATGTGTTACTTAGCACAGATAGTCAATTAGTAGTATAAGCTGATCGAATCAACTATGATTCACTTCCAAAAGTCTGTTTTCTATCAAAATTTTACCTAAGTGTACAAACAGAGTCTAGGTACCTACAGGAACTACTTAAAATAGTGAATCGAGATGTTCTAGATAACGACCTAACTTGGAATATAAACTCAGACTAACTTTCCATTCAGACCTCAACTCGGGTTTAAAGGTCACCCACTATGTCCCGGAGTGTTGATATTTGTTCATTCAATCGATGTTATTTATCTTTGTTTTGATGGAAATGTTAACAGTCTCAAAAAATTCCTAGTATATAAACGCGTAATTCTACAGTTAGTTGTTTCTATAGAAATCTTCAAAAAATATATTTACCTACTTAACGTTCTTAGAAATCTCATATTATAGGGAAGTCTCCTAAAAAGCTATTTCAACGAACACCAGCCACCATCGCAAAAAAATAACGAGTGTATAAAGAACATGATTTCTTTCATGTAATAACAAGTGAGTGACTTGCTAACCCTAAACACTGACCGGGACATGTTCCAATTTCACAAGTTCGCCGTTTCACCGTGTGCCGGCCACCTGACCAGCCGGCGGCCCGGCACAGAACCTACAATATATTTCAAACGAAATGAAGAGAAACGGCCCGCTATTACCGACCGCTTTTATTTATAAACAGAGCTCATATTTCAAAGGACCTTCCCCAGCTGCGGCCTGCTCCACACCCTGATTTGTCCATTATTCCACGCTGTGCAAAATGTTTTTGACGGGATTCTCTATCTCATCTCATCCGCCCGCCACACTCCGCACCTACTTTAATATCTCCGACGTATTTTTTTCGATTCAAAACGAGAGCAAATGAAACAAACTCGACCTTCGCCTGGTATAATTATTTAAACAACAGCCTCAGAGATTTTTAAAGAGCATTAATAAAATCATCTTGGTAATGGAGAAGCCTCCAAGCGGCATTTAGAATACAGGAAAAATTGTATTGTATAAGAAATTCCTCGGAGATTTTTAACTAATTTCAACTTCCTTACCATAAATTTCTCGGAACAAAGCCATAACTGTATTCAGTGTGAAGAAATGGCCTTCAAAGTGAAAGTAACATTATCATTTTTACTGTAACCTGATATTTCTGATATTTGCTTGGACGACGCTCCGGTGGAAATAAGAACCCATACATTTTGTACGACCCCTTTTATCTTGTGAATTAAAATAACAGGGAACTCTTTCACATGCGGATGCGAACTAACTTCTTCCCTACTGAATACTGTAACTTGCCGCTTTGTACTCTGCTATTTTGATGCAGAACCCTGGGTTTTAAGGTTCGGAAAACGTATTTGTATGTTTGTATTTTTTACTTCCTTTACGTTGATGATGGGTGACACACTCTCAGCCCAAGTCATAAACAAATCGTCACTCCAGCGGTCGTCTAGCACTGCCGAGAACCACCGCTTAAACAGATCGATATTAGGGTAGTAGGACACTTTAGGAGCGCAGTTTAACCACCCCCCTCCCTCCTTATTGGCAATTCTTATTCAAATACGGGCCGCCGGCGTAATCCGCGTGACATACTGGGCTATCTGTGTGTCCGTTTTTTCCTTATTTATCGCCGTCCCGCCCGGGGCCGGTCCATTTCTCTCTGTCGTACTTATCCGGAGATCTGACGGCGAACTGACGCTTCTTAGCCGCTTCTGCTTGCTTGGTAGGTTAGTACTAGATAAATATGTGTAAAGCGTGATTTATGTTTGACAATAAATAAAAAAATCTTGGTATGCTTTGTACAAATACGCTGAATGCGTTCTCTATGACTGGTTAATAAATAAGAAACACCACACATATGTCGTATATTTAATTTAGCAATGGACTGAAATAAAATGAAATTTATTTGTACTAAGACTGAAGAAAATACGACTGACAAAACGTACAAAACTCTCGAGAGCGGAGGGCAAGCGCAACAAATACAAGCTGCAAGCTACATTGCCTCCTGAGCGCTCGCGAAGCCGCTTAAAACCTAAGGAAACATTTCCAGCCGCTGGAAAATAGTTTCCTTGAAGCAAGGTTTCTTAGGTTACACCGCCGACGAGGCGAAATGAGATGATTCCATTTATATTGCGAACCACTGACACGCATAAATATCTAGGTAAGTTATATGCATTTATTCAGAAACCGGGGTATATTTACATTTGATTAGCACCTCAACCTATACATGTTTTGTAGAGCCGTGGATTATTTCACAGGATGGCCCTCAGTCGTTATTGTTCAATAAAACGTTTGTTTATCGAATCAGAGTAAGATTTTTCACTGTTTGAATAATTGAATTGTTTTGCCAAACAAACATTTTGCGAGAAATGTTCAGTGTATAATATAAGCAGAGTACTCACGAAGTTTGTTCACTGTGTAGTACGGTAGCAGTAACTCATAAATACATACAAATCCTCTTATGAGTTCGAGACGGAACCATTCAATTAGAGGAACAATGTAACGACCAACTTGGCTGATGTTTTGACTTTGAAGCATTTACTTTATTAAAGCGAACATAAGCACACCGACATCAATCTTCAGTGCAACCTTTGTCGATACAATATGTTGCTATTTTTCACCCAGACCTGATAAATTGTAGAAAATTAATATATGTTTTGAAAAATAAATGTTAGATTTACTTTCCGGCCGTGTGTGCTAGAATAATGTCGTTATAGCAAAAAATATTACTCGTATGTTTCACCTTCTGTCGCCTATGAAATCCTAGTAATAATTTAATGACGCTCTCGGGAGTTATTTTTATTTACTTATTTTTATATTTTGAGATTATGCGATAAAGGTTCACTGTGACTTTAATTACTTACGGTCTTACTAATAAAGTTCGGTTACACACTTGTTTAACACTTTGATAGCTATTCATTGAATAGGGAGTTAGTAATACTTTATACAAGTCATTACCAATAAACAATGCGTATACCTTGAATAACTATTTATTCCTTATACTGGTGATTGCTAGCAACATTGATGAAAGCGTTCCGAAACTTCCGAACAGAAACACTTCTTGACAATATTCTTGTATTATTATAATTATTTAATTATAATAATCAATAAAATACTTGATTTTGTAAAACAAAAAGAAGGTTTTAGGTTTTTAATTTAGTTTTAAAATATTAATGTATCAATTCTTTGCGAAACATTTTTGATAAAAATGTTGCTATTTCGAATGTACCTAATCAATGTCAAATACATTTTTGACACAAATTAGAGTCGTGGCATTAGAATTATACTTCGATAACCCAATTAGGTACTGAAAATATTCGTAACAGCTTTTAATAATAGGTGTTATACCTATTACTGAATATCAAGCCAATATTAGGGCAGCTGATCTTATATTCCTTTACCTATAATTGATGTGAAATAATGTTATAAGTATTAAGATACATTATCTCCACGTTAAAACTTCACAATTTTAAAACTTCACAATCTCCTTCAAAATTTCGGTTTATATCGCCATCATACCCCATCTTCTGGTTAGTCAACTGCCAATCAGCTGGTTCTGAGACATGTGAAATTAAATTAGTTTATCCTAATATATCAATGAACGAACAAATAAATAAGTATTACAAATATTGTATTCGTAATACGTATCTGTATCTATTATAGATATTTCGTCACACTTCTATGCCACGTATTAATTTTTATCCTATGCTTGATGCTTGATGTTGTGAATATAAATATCATCATCATCATCAGCCTATAAGTGCTCACTGCTGAGCAAAGGCCTCTTTTAATACTGAGAAGGTTTGAGCATTAATCACTACGCTTGCTCAATGCGGGTTGGCGATTACAAACTTACAATTGAATGAATACTCAGAATGAATATAAATATGTTCTAGTAAAAATAGAAAAGATTATGTTTATTTGGAAATAGTAATGCGATTGTTGTTTTGCCTTTTTAGGAATAACAACCTGGTTGTACCGACAAAAATAAAAATACTGACACTGGATGTTTGATTTTATTAAATATGCCTTATTCAAGCAATCACATTTCTAAAGTAACAAATTCTGCGATATGCGACACGACTTGCCAATACGATAGATACTCTGCGACACCCATTTGTGATAGATTACTGACTCGTTCCATGAATATCAGCTGCATCGGCTTGATCTTTTGTCGTGTAAAGGCAGGGCTCTAAAGCTATGCAGGCATGGATTTCTGCTGGGGGACCCTTAGTCCTATGCTGTACCTATATCATGAGATAGCAGATCAATAAATTCCATATTATGTTTCTTTGAAAATTTATATTTTCTTTATAAACTCTGCACCTTCAAATGAAAATATCATCGTTAGGATCATTGCGAAATTAATTTTCTTTCTTTTTTGTTGATTGTTCGGATTTCACACTCACTAAACACATTTTAGCAAAATAATGTAAAATCAATTTTATGAGTCTGACAGTTAAAATACGAAAATGATCGCTTATTCACACGTTATACTAGGTCCACGGGCTGAATAAGTCTTGTCTAACGTTTCATACAATTTTGACAACGGTTATAACAGCTGTATATGCGGGAAATGTCAAAAATTGATTATTAGTAATGAGTCTGCTATACCTCTGTTATAAGATGTGTGTAATTTTTTATTAGTAAGGGGGTTAGATATAAAATTCATGAGGACATATTTGTTAGCATTTGTTTATGTTTCAAAGTTATCAAATCTGTTAGCAGTGCGCTGCTAGCTCTCCGAAACGTTGCACTTTTTTTTAGTAAAAACTGCAGTTTTTTAGTTGTTTACAACTTATTTTCTTCCTTTTACCATACGACAAGTACGTTACGAGCGAATTAAAACAAGAGGAAATTTATAATTATTTTTAATTAGGAACTAAGGCAGTGTTTCATTATTTGGAATTACTGTTTGAACTTCTTTCTTAATGTATCTTAACCAGCAAACTATAAGTATTTGTTGTCTTAACTACTTATCATAATTACATAATATATTCGTCGTCGGGCTGTCTCTTTGGACTGGCGGGTATTTCTGTCATGATGTCATCTATCAACAGTAGGACTCGTCTCTTGAAGTGTTTGAACTGTCGAGAGCTCATTTCGTGGAGTTCTGGTAGGAGGCTGTTGAGGAATGACTTGACGTGATCACTGTCCAGTGTCACGGTGGATGACGGCTGCAACTTGGCCATCTTGTTGATCTGTTGGGGCTTTTCATCTTGCATTGATTGTTTTCTTGCGTGAGGAGTACCTTCCCTCTCCTCCTCGACAGAGGACGGGCCCCACTCGTCAGAGTCCTCCTCTTGTTCCACCGGCTCCACCTTGATATGTTCTATTTCGACCTCAATAGGCTGGTTGTCTCCTTCTTTACATTCTAGCGTTTGATTCTTCTTTTGTTTGTCTTTCGCTGCTTCTGCCATAGCGATCGGTCTCATGAATGGCACGACAAATTGCATCACATCAGCAAGGTAATAAGGTTTCTTTTTCCCTGTTACCCTTGGCGGCGGGGCTTTCATTGTCCTCATAAACACAGCTCGTAAGTTCCGCCATCTTTCTCTGCATGCTGATGCTGGAAACAGAAAGTGTTTTGTAATTAAATAACATCGTTGATTAATAAGATCGTGTTTATTTCATACAGTAAGTACCTACGATAAAACGAAAAATAACATTTTGTAGTTACAACCGGCGTTAAACAACTACAGCGTTGTGTTTTGCCGTGTGAGTGAAGTTGCTGGAGTCCCAGTCCAGCCCTTTATCCCTAAATCTCAGAAACCCTAATCGCAGACAACGCACTTGTAATTCCTCTGATGTTGCGGGCTTCCATTAGTGGCGCCGAATGATTACGATCAAATAATCTTATTTGCCGTCCTATAAAAAAATTGTGAAATTGTGTACTCTATGTAAGTAAGTAAGAACCATATGTGAATTATATCCTTCCATAATATTTCATGTTGTCTAAGTAGTTACACATTTTTGTACTCGATTATAATCGAATGTTTATAATTCTTTAACAACAAACATATAAAGATAAACAAACTGATATGAGGTTACGATACGATATGATTAGGTCTGTGACCGAAGCGGTTCAATTGCACAACAAACAGACATAAAAACACACAATCGCACCTGTCGGGTGGCTCTGGGCGGCTCACACGCTTACATATGACAGGCGACGACAGCGCCACCTATCCATATCATTATTAACTAACCACACATCAAACCCTAATAAAATCATTTTTTTTAGAGATTACACACACAACAAAAACCATGCTCGTTTGCTTATTGCAATGTAGGCAAAGCAACTTACACTTAAAAATACCACGTTACTAACCCATTGCTGTCAAACACATAATCATAAAGAAATATATTCACAGAATGTTCCAATTTCAAGAGAAGCGTTCAACAACAAAGTTATGCAAAGGGACACATTCTATTACAAAAGAAATTTCTCTGTTAATATCATTTATATTTGCGAAGAAAAATGTCGATAAACATTGACATAACCGCACAACCCGGTGAAGGGATGCGCGGTGCAGGGCGCGGGGAGCGGGGGATACGCTCGCCCCACGAACACTCGATACTACTACCGCGTAGCTCTTAGTACAAACAAATAAAATGGTCTTACGCGTCATGCTCATTGCCTTGCCCACTTCTCTCCAGGCTTCGTCGCTGACATCCCTCCGAGAGTAAGAAGGCAACTCAAAGTTGTATAGTATTGGGTATTTCTGTACTTCTTTCACGAATTTGATATTGATTTGTTGCTCACTCATGACATCTCGCGACATGATGATCGCGGACCGGTACGCAACTCACGGACGACCTGTACGGTGCGACGGGCCCCGCGCTACTGATTTCGAACCGGTCTGTGACGCACATCGAACCAGTCGCGCGGCTGCGTGAGCCGCTAGTTGGCGGCGCGTCGCTACCTCGCCTCGCACTCACACACCCCACGTAGCCGACACGTTACCATTGTGTGCGTGCACTCCGACGAGCGAGTCAGATGACTGCCCGCATCCGGTGGGGATCCCAGCTACTATTTAGAAATCCAGTTAACGGTTGCGAACCATTCATAGAAGGATTAGTTTGTACTTACCTTCTATTCAACGCAATATGTCGAGTCAGACAATGTCTTCATGTTACTTGTAATTAAGTAGCTACTTATTTCACAATAACTAGGGAAGGCTACGAGCAGTAATCTAGCTGAGCTAGTAAGACTTAGTGACTTTAATCAGCCTCGTATGAGCCCATTTATTTGTCGGTATCAGCCGCCTGCTAGCTTATTGCCACTAAAAATCCGAGCCTCATGTGTTCCACGTCCTACTTTTACCCTGGTCGGTAAATCTTGTCGACTATGTCCTAATACGATGTCGTGATACTAATCTTTGCGAATAAATAAATAATATTGTGATTTGCGAGAAAAGTGAAGAGGGTTTTGTGTTTCGTTAGAGAACATAATATTACGTACTACATTGGAATATAACACGGAATGGAAGATTGGGGAGACGATAAAAGTATGTATATTTTATTGAGGCGATATCTCGATAGGATCCTTTACAAGGAATCTCCGTGTTGGCCATCCATCCGAGCATAAAATAAGTTTTTACTGCCGCACTCCGCACTCCGCACTCCGCACTGCCGCGCAACGCGCCAAGTTTTGCTCTTTTGGCTTCCATATTTTACGTGGTATTTTAAAGAAATTCATTTCTCGGGCTGTGGGTTATTCGCTGGGAGGCAAAGCTTTGGTGAAGTAAGCGTACCTTTTGTTATATAATACGCGTATAAGACCCACCAAATATAATTCAAAGTATTCATTGATTTAGTATTTTGTTTTTACAAAAAAACCATCCTTTATTATTGGGACTTGGCAAGTTTTTATTTATGAATTAATTAATTTTCACGGAATGTAAAATTATAGTTTACTAGGGAACCGTGCATGTTTTTTTTTTGTTAGGGGAAAATCATCAAATGACTTCTCCCGCCCAGGGCCGGGCGGGAGGGAGTGTCAGACTCTTACTAACAAAAAACCCCCCTGTTCCTTCTCCTGCTCTGTGCCGAGGTCGCGGTGCCTCATTGCGCTTACCCCGCAACCCCGGCTGAACCGTGCATGGTGTGGCCGCATGTATAGACTGTATGATGTTATTGTTGCAGGCCGTGGTGCTGCCGCCGCTCGCCAGGTGGCCCTACGAGAACGGATTCACCTTCACCACATGGTTTCGGTTGGACCCCATCAACTCCGTCAACATTGAAAGAGAAAAGCCATATCTATACTGGTAAGAGCCATGTTTTCTTAGAAGTTCTAATCGCATCCCATTTAATACAGGCTCACACCAAATTACCGTTTTGTATTCCCAACATTCTCAGTAAATGGTATTATAATATTAGAAGGCAACAAACACTGTTACTGAGCTGAAAATATTTAATTACTTTCCTAACTCATGTTCACAATTTCATTGAAAACGAGTTATAGGTGATATGGAGTGAAGCTGTACCAGAAATGTATAATAGTACGGATGCCAAATGTATTCCGTAAATCGCGTGTGGCGGCAGACCGCTGTACCTGTGTTTCCGACTTTTCATTTGATTTGAGTGGAGCTCGGACGTTTCAAGTGTAGTTTCGGTAGCGCTCTGCTATCCTGGTACTAAGCTAAATCATTTTCGGTTTGTGTTCGAGGATAATTGAATTGCGAGTTCACCACAGGTCACGTCAATTTAGAAGATCTTTACCATTCACTATAACTTTATGATTTCCCGCTGTTATTAAACCAACTTTATAGGTATGGTAGGTAAGAAAAAAAATATAAATATGCTTTCAGATTTAAATAGCAACTGAAATAAAAAAAAATAGCCTGCTTCAAGTAATAAACGCTTTTCATTTGGCAGCTTCAAGACGAGTAAAGGTGTAGGCTACACGGCGCACTTCGTCGGCAACTGTCTCGTTTTAACATCCATGAAGGTGCGAGGCAAAGGATTCCAACATTGTGTCAAATATGAATTTCAACCAAGAAGGTGAGTGCAGCTGTAACGAATTAAATACATTTTTAGATCTTGCACTAAAAAAGATTTATGATTGAACTTCATAGAAAAATCCTCATCTGCTTTTATCGTTCAAAATCTAAAATTATTTAAAGCTGGTGCAGTTAATTTTAAACGTGCTTCTACCAAATTTTAAAACTTTTGTTCAGAACACTAAATCAGGGCAGTGAAAAAGTTGCAGCAGTATAAATAAAGTTCCCTGTGTAGTCAGTTTATGACGACGGTCGGCTTTCGTGTGAAAAGTTGCCTCAAAAATTATTCTGTTTCACTGTGTTCACTCAGATGATAAACTTATAAGCAAAGCGCACGGAGCTGGAATCACTTTTAATGTTTTTGTAGGATCAGTTTAACTCGTGAAATAATTATTTGTTCGAGCAATGTTTTACCTACATGTTAAAGATCCGAATAGAAAAGTACACATGAATGAACATTTTCAGAGTTATACGCTTCACTTGGCTTAATAATTATGCAAAATCTTCTTAAAAATGTTTTCGTGTAACGAATTGGAAATTATTCACCAAGCTAAATAATTATTATGTAAAAAAATGGTAATAAGTTAATTTTATTCTTCAATCATTTTGTTGATTTGCCAAAGTTTCCGTAAGTACTTTATGGGTGAGGCAGTGATTGTTTGTTCCCCGCGCAGATGGTACGCGATAGCCGTGGTGTACATATACAATAGATGGACGAAGAGTGAGATCAAATGCTTGGTGAACGGACAGCTAGCATCCAGCACAGAGATGGCATGGTTCGTCTCCACTAATGACGTAAGTTCTGCAATTTCATTTCTTTTCTTCTTTTCAATGTAGATTCTGTTAATTTTCCGAAATTAAAGTGCGGTCAAGTTGTGTAATATGTTTGTTCTTTTGGTAACATCGATCACTAATAAAGAACAGTTCTTTATTAGTGATCGATGTTTAGTAATCTTAGAATTAAGTTTGTTATTTTAAGAGCTTTTAAAATACTGAAATAGTAACCCTTAATCCAAGTTGAAAGTACTAAGTGCTCATAACTGTGTAGGAGCTTAGCATAATACATTCGGTTATCTACGGCGAACACCCCTTTTGCGACAAGTTTAGCGTTCGACTCGTCACGTACGTGTCGTTAGCAGCAATTTATTACAAGTAATGCCATGCAAATTCCTGTGGGTAACGCGGACCTCATACATACTGAGTGATACAAGTTTTAAGTTTCTTGAAACTTCATAGTCTGAACATAATTTGTAACTGTGGAACCACTTCCAACAGACTCCCATTATCTGCATAAATGATATGCTGATGTCACATTTTGTCAGAAAACAGATACGCACGAGAATGTGTACAGATTAACGTCGAAACTTGTGTAATAAAGTAAGTTGAAATTTGTATCGGTCAGAGCTCTAATCAAATGAAAATCATCGATTGATCGCAATGTGGAGCTTGCCACAAGGGATTGAGGCCCGAATATTATTATGATTGTGACCCAAATAACCGATGCTAGCCTTAAACCTTGTTATTATGGTTGTGGAAACGAACCGCTCGTACGTCAGGAACATGTATCAGTATACGTCCCGCTACATTAATGAATTGTGTGTTGCCTTTACAAAAGCTCCATGCCAGTAATCCGATTTAAAAAATACGCAGCCAATTAGACTGAAAGTGCACGCGTACGTTGTGTTGTATTGTTTTGATTGGATTCCTCCTTTGTTTGTTTTGTAAAGCTCCATTTAGTTCGTGTTCTCCTAGTATTCTCTTTCCCGGTCGTGGGATTAAGTTGGTGTTAGTTCATGCATGCCACTATGAATATTCACCGGAGCTCGGACGTGGTCACGCATAGTTGCTGTGAAATGAACTTGTCTAGCGTTATGAAGACAAACTAATTATTTGGGGACTTAGGTACACGTGCCCCTGCCACACCACACACGATTCTCTTGAAGATATTGTAAACATTTAAATTTAAATCGAATAAGGCATTATAAACTTGTAAGAAGCTTACTAAGATTCTTAGAAGTGGCTTTTATTAAATTCTTTATATAAATGTATAAATAATTTATTGCGCCGCCGAGTTTTTAAATTAATTTATAACAAAAAAGCTTAATTTAACACCCATTATTTTAAATTGTATGGCCGGCATTACAAGGGGTTGAATTATTTTATCAGTTCGGTATTTTGAAGCCGAGGGTTGTTATAAAAAACTCTTTGATGTAGGTAAATTCTGGCTCTCAGCGTACTGAATAAGACCCTCTGAATAATGAACACTAATAATAGTATTACGGAGACGGTACAATTTAATCACTTTGATGTTTTATTTTGTGTTTTATTAATTATGTACAGGTTACATAATTAATAAAACAGCAATATTGTTAGAGGTGCTTTTGTTATTCCGAGCTCCTACAAGCGATACTTCAGGAAACCGTTATTTAAGCTACATTACACAGATTTAGAATTTGTTTCGATACAGTATTGTGAGAGATAAGGTATGCCGCCTTAAAGACAATTTGTGAATAAACACTGGAGTATTTCAGCTGTAAATGTGAATTTACATGGCATTTCTGTGCACGGGACCGGAGACAAAGTCGTGTGCTTCCTTAACGATAGGCTGTGCGCACGGTATTGCCAGAGAATTGAACAGGGTTCAAACGGAGTGCCAGTTATGTCGGCTTCAGTGCACCGTCCTACCTACTTGTCTATGTATTAATGTATTAATTGACATATATTTATTACCTATATGATGTGATGACGGTCGTAAAAGGATTATTAACTATGACCACTGTCGGGCACGCTACCATAGCAGCGGTAAGACCCCTCTTTGAGGAGTGGCTT